TTGCCATCACGCTAGTGAACTGACTCTGAGTCTATGCCATCGTTGACCCTTCGGTCCCTGAACTGCTGGCCTGGGAACTCTGTTGTGCAGCAGTTGCCATGGCTGCTGAAGCAGCTACTTCACTTGCGGCTGCTGAAGCAGTTGCCATTCCTTTCCATTCTCAATGCTAGCGCCCGAGGGGGTGGGCCTTGAGGACACGGATCCCATCTTTTACTAGGGGGGGTTAGAAGGTGGTCATCTTTACAGTTTTCTGCATGCGGTATCTCTCATCCTTTTCTCAATGCAGTTTGCTGGTTCCAATGACCTCATACATACACCTGACTTAGCGTCTAGCACTCAAGCGGAGGCTTTCAACCTCAGGTAGTGCTAGCCCGCCTGACCGTTCAATCTATAGATTGGAACGCGGCTCCTAGGGGAGGACATCCTCATACCACTCTACCCATAGGTTCCCTAACCTCTCTTGTACTCAACTGATACTTAATGCTTTTTCTTGCTCAATCAATCCAAATTTATAGTCAAAATACAATCTTTGTCTTGTCCAAAGTTCACAATTCAACCGTCCCAACTAGTCCCGTACCCATGTCCCTTGCCAATGCCCTTTCGCACAGAAACCTTTCAAGGTAGCACATCCATAAGTAGCTCATAAACTGTTTCCTCACCCATCCAAGCTAAATCCTGACTAGTCCCTGCCAACAATCTTCTCCATACTGGCCAAGCTTTACTCCTCTTCAACACAAACTTTGTCAAAATGCGCCTCAAACCTAGTCTCTTCCATTATCATTAGTCCTTTGTCACTTGGGCGCCCGTTCGCCGTTGCATTTTATTGGCCCCTCGGCTCCCAGGCCGGCGGTCAAGATTTCTCTTTTTCTCCTTGCAATTTCTTGTAGTTCCTCCTCATTGTAGAAGTCCAGGGGTGTAACGGACTTGCGGCCCTTATCAATCTCCTAGTCTTAATGATCCTGTCATGTCTGATTACACTGACTCGTTGCTCGAACCAATCACTGGGTGTTGGCCCAAATTCTTCCGCCCACTTGGAGGTTTCTTCCCTTCGGCCCACTTGTTGAGGGTTGTCCTTCTTCCCTAGGCCTTGAGATCTCGTCTGCTTCATCGCCACTACTGATTGCAATGACTTCCTGCACTTCATCCTCACTCTCATTTTTTTCTTCCCGTACGGGGCTGAACTCACCCGTAAAGTTCTCAAGATTCAAGTTGTAAGGGATATTCGTCCTCCTTTCGTGTTCGTCCCAAAAACCCGTATACCCCCTCTCACAACTGTCGTGCCCGTTTCGGGCGTCTTCCTCCGCTTCTCTCACAATCATGATGCACACTTTCTCTTTCCTCCTCTCTTCTTTCACAGTTGTCATGTACAATTTGTCTTTCTTCTTTCTCTCTCTCACCACTGTTACGCATACCTTGCCTCTCTTCTTCCCTTCTTACCTCCGCTTCTTGCTCCTCCCTTTCCTCTTCGGATAAGGGCTGCAATAAACAATACCGGTCTTGGTCTGTCCCACGGCCTCTCGGGTCTCTGCTACTCGACTTCAAAAGGCATGTTAGCGCAGGCATGTTAGCGCGGTTCACATCATTCTTGTCGTTGACTTCCATCTTATCTTGAACTTTTCCCTGTACCTATCAACACAAGGAAAAACAGAGGCCCCAGTCCATATCCCAAGGCGGAGCCCCGTCCACGGAGTAGCGGAGCAAAATCCCGTCTCCTTATGATGTCGGAGTTGCCCAAATTTCCAAGGATGCACCTCTTTGCCCAGTTTTCGTTCATGCACATCCATGAAATGAGTCGTTCCGCGTTTCCCACTCGAATCCCATCCATCCGTTTCAAAAGTTATGATACATTGCCCTAGGCATCCATCCCTATACCATCCCTCACAAAAACTATGGTACAATGCCCCCTAACATTCATCCCCATATCATTCCTCACAAAAACTATGGTACAATACCCCAGTCGCATTACTCCACCCACGCAATCCGCTCCCCATAGGCACAGTCAAAAACCCATTCCCCAAAAAAACAAACCCATCATAGGTAAGATCTCTGTTGGCGCCTTAGCCGGCTTGTTCCCCAGTTTCCTTGTCTTGAGCCTCTTGCAACCACTGTTCCACTGGATCTCGACTTAGAAATCTGACCAGTTGTTGTCTTGGAAATGACCCTTTTACCCTGGTCCCATCCAAATCTTCCAATTCAAAAGTGTTCATCCCCAGCCTCTTGGTGACCTGGTAGGGGCCCTTGAACCTTCTTCCCAGTTGTCCCGACCAAGTGCTCTCTTGTGCCGAATTCTTGACTAGGACCATTCCCCCCACCTATAGTGGTTCTTTCCTGATGTTCTTCAGCTGATCCCACCTCGCCTTGTCTTTCATCCTGCTATCCAGAACCCTGCTTACTGCCTCCTCATTCTGGGCAATCTGCTGACATCTAGCTTTGATTACTTGTTCTGTCGTCAAGCGTAGGTCATCGTCCAGCCTTCTCCAAGTTGGTACTCGGGCTTCCACTGGAAAGTCAATTTCCCTCCCATACCACAAGGTTGGGATGCATCCCATAGTCCTTTTTGGAGTCACGTTTTCAGTGAAAACGGCCTGCTTGAGATACTTAGGCCAGTTCCCAAGATCATGAGCTGCGAACTCGCGATTGTGTTTTTAGTGTCCGATGGCCTCTTTCCACGGGCGCATTAGCCTCTGGGTGGTATGGCTCAATTAGCTTAATGGGCACCCCGAGTCTTTTGCACGTGCTCAACACGTCCTGATTTACGAACTCTGTCCCATTATCAACTATGAATCTTCTGACGAAAGGGTGCCTTAGGTAGAAGTCCTCGATCCATTTTGCCATTGTCGATCCGGTTTTCTTCTTAAGGGCTACTGCTTCCACAAACCCACTAAGATTATCTCTAGCGTCAAATATGTACCGGTATCCTTCAGAAAAAAATGTATCATAGAAGCTGCTACCTGTCTACTACGGACCCTGGGAAGTTCTCAAGGTGATAGGGGATATTGATCAACCATCATACAAAATAGATGTACCCTCACACCTCAAAACATATCCCGTTTTTCATGCCTCTAAACTACTGCCATATGTAGAAGGACATGATTTTCCCAACAGACCATCGATGTTTCCTCCTTTAATGGATGGAGCCTCATGGAGGCTACGAAGTTGAGAAACTACTTGAACATGGATACTTTTCTATAGGTGGCAGAGGTAGGCCACAAAAGCAGTTCAAGGTAAAGTTTAAGTCTCAAACCCTGTATGAAGCTCGATGGTTTAGCAAGAAAGAGCTTTTACCTATTGCTCCTGATATTGTCTATATGCATATGAGTGTGGATTTGTGGATTAAAAGAAAATTAAGCCTAAAGATAAATTTCTGCAATGGAACTCGAAAATTGGGCCAGCAGGAATGCAATAACCCACTCAAATATGCCTATGTCGTCGGCAAAGGGGGCCATCTGCAGGCCACAATCGGGCCTTAAGGCCCTGCGCCCGACTGCGGGAAACAGAGCCCCTGAAATGAGGCTTCAAAGGCCCTGCGCCCGACAGTTGACCAAAGTCAACTGTAACTCGTGGTGCTGAGGCTCACAAGTCAAATTATCCATGGACCCAGTCCAGGCCACTGATCAGACACACACACTTGGTTGTACGCAGGTATCCAGGCAGCATTTGGACCAAGTGGAAGTCTGTAACTGTACGCGATCCAGGGCGTCGACTGTGAGTCAATCCGAGGCTTTGTATGTGAGAGACCAGAGGCTGGTCAACGGCGTCAACATTATTTATTGACCCAGCCCCTGGGGGTCAACATTCAGTCTGGCACTTCCTGCTTGACGCTGGCACGACGCTGGCTTGACGTTGGCTCAACGCTGGCAGGACGCTGGCACTACGCTGGTATTGTGTGACAACGACGTGAGACTGCTGCTTTGCGTGTTGGCGCCTCTCTGCTTCTGGCGCCAACTGTCTCCTTGGATGCTGACGTGGCATTTGCCACGCTATGTTTGGCGTTGCTGACGTGGCGCATGCCACACTGTGTTCGATACAGATTAAGTATGCAACAAGGAGGGAGATCACGAACTGTGGGATTCGTTGACTGAGAGAGAAGGAAACCTACCTATTAATGTTGTCGACATTGCGCGCTGCAGAGATGTCGTCATGGGAGATTTGTGCCTACGTGGCACTATGTTGTGATCAGATCTTGCCAGACTCGTTTCTGGGATCCTGTTTGCTGACGTGGACGTAGGGAAACGCCCGAAGAAGAAATGGGGATTGAGGGAGATGCTTTCTCTTCCACCTTCTAAGTCTATCCCCCCGACTATCTACCCCGTCCTATGGTTACGGGACATTGTATTACAGATCACATTTCATATTTGTTGGAGACAATTATCAGCGCTGAGATATCTTGTATTTTGACACTTAACGATTTTCTCTCCTGACTGGGTTCATTACAGTTACATCTCACAGCAAAGAATAATGCGATCCTCCTTTCCCCTCCCCCTCCGTTCTTGACTCAGTTCTAATGCAATCTTCCTTCCCCCTCCCCTCATTCTTGATGATTCCCCCACGATAGGAGAAATAAGTGAATGGTTGATAATGCGATCTTCCTTCCCCCTCCCCCTCCGTTCTTGACCCAGTTCTAATGCAATCTTCCTTTCCCCTCCCCTCGTTCTTGACCCAGTTTTCTTGAAGTTTGCTTGTTACTTTTGTACAGATGGTATTTTAGTATGTTTGCTAAACAAATAAGTGAATGGTTCATAATGGAAGATGTGCTGAACGTGAGTTCTGGTGATGGTGTATGAGTAGAAGGGTTGAGATTCCATGCTGGTGTGTATTCAAGGATTGTGGGGAGGAGGTGATGGCGCCATGATAATAAAACTCACGTCAACTTGTTCTATTGAATTTCCATTGTGTGAATTTTCTCGTCTAATGAGTTCAGGTGGATGGAGTGGACCAACTCACGTCAACTTGTTCTATTGAATTTCCATTGTGTGAATTTTCTCGTCTAATGAGTTCAGGTGGATGGAGCAGACCGACCTTACTGGGCCAGTGCCAAGCGGCTGGACAACAAGTGATGCAAGCAAGCTGGATTATGCGTGAGTAGTTCATGTTTTCCTTTTGAGTTTATGTTTCACCATTTCTGATTGTGAAGAAACTTCATGAATATTTTCCCCTGGTATCTCACTAGTTATCCCTAAGCCCAACCTCATCAGTGTTGCGTAGCACGGACCACTGATGTGTATTTCGTCCTCTGGCATTCAGGTCTATGAAGGACCCATAGTTCTGGCAAATTTTTTTGCCTGCTTGATGCTCCAATGTGGACTCCTTCAAGTGGAGACATGGAAAAGAAACATGCACAACTCATGGGCTTCCACCATAGTGACTGCCTCCACCTCCATAGCTAGGAAATGCTTCTTCTCTACCGGCTTCTGCCTATCTCGGACAGTGACATACTCATCAGCACTTTCTGGCCTTGGATCCATTTATGACACGCACAAAATTGAACCAGCGTCGTACGCCACAAAGCCAAGTTACGGTGTACAAAAGTGGAACCATAGGGGTTGTGATATCACCCCACCCCTGGATGGTTGTGGTGTGCGTGCTCACACACACACACACACAGATATTCAGCTAGCATGTGGTTCGCATGCCTTATGCCGTGAGGATTATGAAAGGATAGCCCTGGTGAGCTTTTGTCTTTATACGTACAAGTGGACCCGCCGCAGCCACGCTGCGGCAGAGGAGATGGACGAAGAGGGGGCCGGGGCTGTTGTTGTTACACTGCCGGTTTTTTTATAATTTTTTTTTTGGGGAAACTGCTCCTGGGTCACACTTTTAGTTCAAAACGGCAAAAAAAACACTAAATGGCAATGTCCTCGTCGTCGAAGTTCAAAACGGCAAAAAAAACACTAACTGGCAATCGTCGAAGTTCAAATAGGCAAAAAAAAACTTATAAGGGCGTCGCTGCACTACTCTCGACATGCACAACAGACAAAAATCATGGCCGTGTATCTTTCCATATTCTAGCAGAAGATTCGCTCTCGTTTTGCGCATTTCGAGAGTAGTGCAGCGAGGCCCTAACAGTGCTGCTTCCACGAATGCATCTGCCGAGAATATTAGCTCGGTTCGTTCCTTGTTGTGTTGTTGTTGTTTTTTGCTGCTGGCACTTGATTTCGTGCCCTGCCAAAGAGCAGGGCGTTTTCCACGGAGAACAGACGTGCAGACGACAAAAAAAAAAACCGGACAGCTGACACTTGCCAAAAACGAAAAAAAAATAAACGAAGTTGAAAAGCAAGTCGTGAGGAGGGGGGGGGGTAGCCTCGAGCAGGGTGTTCACAGTAGTGCCTCCAGGAATGCATCTGGCCAGAGTTCCGCCGTGCCATGCCCTGCCGCAGCTGGGGAAAAGAAAAAAGGTGGTGTTCGGCCCCATGGTTGGGCCACGGCCGAGATGTCTCGGCCACACCCCAGATTGGGCACAGCTGAGATGTCTCGGCCACACCCCAGATTGGCCACGGCTGAGATGTCTCGGCCACACCCGGTATTGGCCACGGCCGAGATGTCTCGGCCACACCCCAGGTTGGCCATGGCCGAGATGTCTCGGCCACACCCCAGATTGGCCA